CAACTTTGAATTCGCACGCGGCTTATTCAATGAAAATGGTATTTGGGTAGGGGTACTCGTAAATGAGCTATGAATGACTGATGAGGATAAAGCGATTTTCGCCGCCGCTTTGACAGTGAGTATGTAGAAGTAGAATGCATCCCAGAAAGGGATTTATTACGCCAAAATTCTTGACCCTTTATCCCTTATGCCGTAGTGTGGAACTATACAGGGGAGCCAAAAAAAGACACACCGGCCGAGTCACATATCAGCAAAGTTTTCGCAGCCCAGACAGAGGACGTGGATACGAGTACCAGGGCGGAAGATACCCAAGATGTTCCTCGATAAGCAGGAGCTGGCTCTCGCCCATCACCTTCATGTACACCAAAATATGAAGTCATCTCCAATCGCAGCCTGACTGGAGAAGGCCTTTGGAATTCACGTCACCTCCAAACAGCTGCGAAACTTCTTGTATGGAGTCACCCATGGCTACCTGGAGACCAGTACTCTTGATCTGGAAGACCTCACATCGAGCAGCTCCGACAGCGTCATTGGTCCAGGTTATCATCTTCACCGCAGTCGCCAAGGCGATGGTATGGAGCGGAAGTTCCTGGAATGGGAAGACCGATATTTTCTTCGTGGACCCCGGACTGAAGGTGAGCGCTGACGGTTACATCGACCAACTCGAGGAGAATATCCTGCCTTCATGTCGTCGCCTGTACCATCTTGGAAACTTCGTACTGCTACAGGATTGGGTGCCACCACATGGAATCGTTGGAAAAACTCTCGCCTACTTGGAATGGAAGGGCGTTGAGTACCTGCGCGTGGCAGAATCTCTCGATGACGCTCGTTCAGAGGGCTGGGGCAGAGTATCGTGATAGTGTGCAATGTGCTGTTGAATATGGTGGTGAAAATGTCCAATCAGAATTCAATAAAGTGTAACTTATATCGCCTTGAAAGTCGAGGAAAAAAGTGTCTTTTTTTGCCCCTCCCGGTATAATCTATATCAAATCTATTGTGAGAGAGAGAGACAGATGAAACATTGCGTGGTTTTGGCCAGATTCGTTGTCGTCAATTATTTTTTTTCAATAAAAAAGCAAACTCTTCAGCGAGTGCCTCTTGAAAAAAGATAGCAGGTAAAAACGGAAGGAGTGATACTTGTTGTTTACAGAATGCTGCAAGGAAAACAAAGTGTCTGAGTTCTGTAGTTCAAAGATGTGCGCAGTGGAGACATCGCCGAACGCCTTCGCTACCGTTTCTATCGCCACCACATGTCCGAGTCGAATGGCCAAAGGTATGGTTTGCGGTATGAACTTCATGGAATTCCTCTTCACGGATGTCAATATTCTACGATTGTGCAGGTTTCTCCTTGCTTGGCGGATGGTCGTAATCACACAGAATGTTCTGTCGCAGAAAGGGCGTTCAAAATGACTGCCTGCCGATTTGTGCTGGATCGACGGAGACCCTTGGCGTCCACTCAGTGTTGTGTCTCAATCTAGACCTACAAGCCATCTACCAATGCCTTCGAGAGGGTTATGGTGCGCTTCGCACTGTTTTATGAATTCTTGAATCCATCAATTTTTCTAAATTTCGCGAAGCTTGCAGAATCTCATCCATCTCCTCCCGTAAACGTGACGGTCACTTCTGTAAGCGAGTCATCAGCTGAAATCACATGGGCGGAGCCAGATTCCAATGCTCATCTGGTCGAAACTTACACTTTGCTTATCCGAAAGATCGAACATGGCGCGAGAGTGAGAGAGGTCTGTGATGACTTACCTTCACCTTTGAAGATTCGTCCCTTGGATCTTTATCGACGCATTCTAGGTTCACAATGCGGTCTCACCTCACACGGAAATCGGCCTCGACCCAGACAGCGAATATTCGGTTTCGGTGAGATCGAACTCGCAACGTGGTGCGTCACTGCCATCTACCGCTGTTCTCTTCTACACGAAATCGGACGCTCATGGAGTCTGCGCAGTTGGAGAACCGTTGCTCATCTCAGGTAGGAGCTTTCGCTGTCAGAATGCCTTTTCTACACAATGAAAAAGTTGATAACTTCTGTATTACTACGTCTACGTCCGCTTATCACTAAGTTTACTTCCAGTGGAATTCTTTGAAAATCTGAGATCAAACACTTTTGTTCCCTACAGTGAACGAGCTATTTTTCATAAAACATTGTTAGTTTATCCTCCTCATCGGCAGAAAATTGTGACTCTCAGAAAAGGGAGGAATTAGGGAAGTACAAAAGGCGCTAGCAGGCCATCATTTACATACGTGCCAATCCTAATTTCAGAGGGACGACCCTTCCTCTGCAGCTCAAGCCATCCGTGTCCACTCGGATTTCAGTGCACAGACGTCGAAGATGAGGCTTATTGCTGTCAGAAAGGTACTGAAAAAGTAAATATAACAATATTGTTTCTCAACTGTATTACATTGCATCATGACTATTACAGAAGGCGGAAACACGGACACTGATTTCCAAGACTGCTGCCGCCATCAGAACGTATCGCCAGACTGCCAATCATCGTGTCGCTTCAATACAACTCTTCCTGAAAACTGCCAACGTAAGGAGTTTTCTAAATGCATCCATTCCTGTCGAGTAGTACTATAACTCTTACCATTATCATCGTTTATTTGTTGCGCTCTGAGCAGCGATTAGATGACTAGTTGCCACCTCTAAAAATGCCTGGCCACTTGTTCGAGCCTTTTGAAGTTGCAGTCAGTGTGCCCTGACTGCTTCAGCCCATTGCAAGACTCTATGGCTTGAGTTCGGTTCTCATCAATGTCGATGGTAACATAGTTCCTTATTTGAAGGCATAGTTCCTTATTTAAAGACAGTTCCCGCGATCAAGTGGTCCGCGAAATGCCTCCGTGCATTTGGCATCGTTGTCGCATTCGCAGAGAATATACAACTTTTGTCACTCGAAACGGCGAGATAAAAGCACTTTCCGCGACC